GGAAAGAGGAGGAGAAAAAAATTCGAAAATTGGTGGTTTCAAGGCGCGACCACCGCAAGTCAAAGGGTTAATACGAAAATTCCTTTCTATAGATGTCTGTCCATGTAACAAGATTAGAAGAATTTTATATATTTCCTATGCTTCAACCTAGTGAAAAGAATAAAAATAAATGGAAAATAAACATGTTAAGCAAAAGACTCCTAGGATCAGAAATAAAACATTAAAATATTACATTTTCATTGTTTTTCCATAAATTCTCCAAAAAGTGAGAAATTCGTCACAAATTTCTTGTACAACACATCTATTATGTGTTAGTATCATGAAGACATTTTTCATTTTGTCACACTTTTCTGGGATCTTCCAGAATCTTCTATAAATCTTGCCTTCAAATCCTTCTAAACTTCCCACGGTGCAATGTTTAAAATCGGAAAGAAAAATTACCCCTACCAATTCTGTAACAGCAAAAAGCCACAAGTATTTTTTAAAAAATTCAGAGAAAAAAATGTGAAATGAATTTAATAGAGAAAACTGATGCATTTCCTAGGAATTCTGAATATTCTGAGAAAATTCCATGGGGAAAAATTTACGATGAAAAAATAAAAAAAGAAGTTATTTAAAAATAATTATACAGCTATTTTGCTCTTGCCTCTTGCTAAGAATTGTTTCATAAATTGTACTTTATAGCATTTATTACTTTACCTATTTTTCAGATTCAAAATATTGTAATAATAAGTCGCCAAAATGGAAAGTAATGTCACTTTAAAATATGACAGTGAAAAATAAAAGTATTTTATTTTAATGTTTTCTTAAGCATAATTTTAATACATTACCATTATTTTAATGAAATTTATCAATGTTATGTTTTAAAAAAATCATCGAAAAATTCACAAATCTACAAATAAAAAAAATTTGTATAGAAATTTATCTTAAAATAGCCAAAATGTTGATAACTCACCAAATTTAAAGCAGTTTTGAGCAGAAAACTTATTTAAGAGAAGAAAAAGTAAATAATTTCAAAATGCTAATGTTTCACTTCTTGCCCAGAAACTCGAGTATCACACCGTTTATATTAGAAATAGGAACAAATTCAAACAATAACAAAAATATATATTTGTCAGTGAATCGCCAAAAATATTCCTCCAAAATGCTAATTCATGCTCAAAAATGGCAATCGTAAAAACAGCAAAAAAATTTTAGAAGATAAAAATTAAGGACCTCTGCAGCTTTTGGCTAAAATTAAGGCCTTTTAAGGACCAAAAATCGATTGGGGGAAGAAAAAAAAAAAAAAACCTAAGGACTTTTAAGGACTGTATGAACTCTGAAATGAGATGCTAAAGTCATTAAAAAGTGTAACAAGCTAAACCCATTCTAAGCATCTCATAATGCAGTCTATTCTTAAGGAGCCTCTGCAAGGCATTTGCACAAAATAAGAAAGAAACAAAAAATAAAAATTCAAGCTTCAAGATGCACATGTTCGAGTGGAGAAGCACATGTGTTAAAGTGACTCTGCATGTTGTCATTTTTCCACAAAGCAAGGAGCATACAAACATGTATGCAAACACTCAGATTCTTTATTATTTAAGAGTAGAGATGAGTATAACATTTCCCTTAGTATAGGGAGCAGGGAAATGGGTAAAAAATTAGACATAATATTTTTTATAAAAACATAAATTTTTACATTAATTAATACATTTTTGCAATTGGAATTGAGAATAACTGGTTTGTTATTCAGATATACCCAGGACTGGTGCCAGAGCTGATGCGGTTGCATCGGACAGCAGAATTTGAGCAACATAAAATGTTCAGAATTTAGAAAAGCACCAAGCAAAAAAAAAAAAAAAAAAAAAAAAAAAATAAGGGACTTCAAAATCTTTAGAATTTAGGGAAGGCACTGGAATACAAAAATTAGTGGTGGCGAAATTTTTAGAATATAGGGAGGCATTCAACAGCAGAATTTTGGACCCGCAGAGATTGCACTGAGCTGCAAAATGTCTAGCTCTGGCCCTGGATAAGCCTCACGCATATGTGGTAATTTACTTATTCTGAACTCAGACAAGTCTTAAACATGTGTGGAAAATAGGTGTAAGTATAATAATTAACAAAACTATCATAAACTTCGTCAGCGTGCAATAGAAGCAAGACAAAATTTAGTGGAACAGCCTGTCTTTAATCACCATTCTTATAATACATTGCCAGAAGCGTTTATAGTGAATGCTACCTAAGCATTATGATGATGGCCACAAATTTGAACATTCTCTGATATCACAAAGCAAAAGTGAACTTTTCCAATTAATGGAAATTGTGAAAGAAGTGCAAAGAAGTGGTAATAAATGAAGATCATAAAACAGAAGATTTTCATTCAGATGATAAAGTCCCAACCATCAGTCAACTAATGAAGGGCAACATCTGCAGTATGGTTCTAAATCCAGAAAATAATGCTTCCAATAGGAAAGAAAATGAAAAGAGAGGTTGTTGAGAATGAAAAATTTTTGACTGATAAATTAGTAGAAATTCTTGAAATAAGTTACAGGACTTGCATAATGGAACTTTGTAACTGAACCAGAAATTATTTCTATCTACAGAATTAAAGAGAAAGTATTAGAACAAGAAACAAAGCAACTTGCACTGAAAGAAATGTTTAATAAAGCAAACAAATAAATACTGAGCCTTCTTTTCTTTTTTTTTTTTTTTTTTTTTTTTTTTTGATAAAATTTGATTTGCTTAAAATCATAAATGCTTCATTATTTCATAAATCACTATTTTATATTTTTAATTTTACAATTAGTGAATGTAATCTTAATAGATTTAAACTGAGGATCTAATATGCAGAAAAATCCCAAATCTAGAATCGCTGAAGTCTCGGCGAGACTGGATCTTGGACTTTGTACTGTATCACCTTAAGGATAAGTTTCAAAATCAATTCTTTCAAAACTCCAGAAATTTCCTAGAAAATTATTTTCTGCTCAGAAAAAAAAAAAGTTCTCCCTCCAGGGGCAATGCTAGGCATTTTGTTGCCCAGTGTAATCTTTGCAGGTTATAAACTTTGCTGCTAGTGCCAGCCTATGTTCTGAAAATGATCTTCCCTCTAAACTCTGCCACACAATACCTCTCCTAAATTCTAAAAACGTTGCTGCTCAATGCTCTTGTAAATTCTAAAAATGATTCCATACCTGAATTCTTTTGCCTGTTGTGACTGGCTCTCTAGTTGGCTCTGCCTTCATCCCCCCCCCTAAAAAAAGTACAAAATTGCAAACTAAAAGTAAAGTGGTGGTGCTTCTTTATATATTGTTTTATATACTATCACTTATTTTAAATTGGATCTGGAAGCAGTTGAATCTACTACCAAAATTCATCAAATAAAGGGACGGAAGCCAACATCAGAGAACATGGTCCAAAGCTAGTTCAAATCAATCCAAAGCTAGTTAAATCATAGAAAATCAAGAGAACCTAATGATTCAAACAAAAGTTTTTTTTACTAGCAGAATTTTAAGTAAGTAACCAATCTACTTTGAAATAGAGCCATATAGCTGAGCTATGAAATTTGAATTTATACTGTGAATATCTGAAAAGCAATCCCACCCCCTTTGAGGAAATGGAACCAGAATGCTATGAATTTTTTGCATCAAAACACAAAGAGTGCTGATGCCAAATGATTATATAACTGGCAGTTAAATATAAAATCATGAGCAGTTAAATATAAAATGGCCAGTTAAATATAAAAACATGAGCAAATTGTTCATGATTATATATATTTTGTTCCGCAACTATATTTTTCCTTCTCCTTTAAAACACAGTTTTAAAATAAAATACTGTAATAGTTGATCACAGAAAATTAATAAAATTTCTAAATGTTTCACTGCCAATTAGTGACATTTGGCAGGGCATATAGACATTTGACAAACCACATGCATTCATGACTATATTGTGAGTGATGCTTGAGATGTGAAATAGTTCACAATATAAACAATGTCATTAACCCTCTGGCTGCTTATCCCGTGATTTCCATGGGCAACTCAAATGTAGCAAAATCTGCTCATCCCGCGATTTCCGCGGGCATGTGTTTTTCTTCCTTTATTGATGAGCGCATCCTGTTTTTTCCCCATTTGACCACTGAAATACATTACATACAGTATTAGACGTTTAGTTTATGTTTTGGACAACAAATATCATTAGTTGTCCGCTAAATTGGGACGTTTGAAGGCACGTGGTATTACCGCTCAAACACAACATTTTGCCGCTTTTTTCTTACAGAAATGGCCACTCGAAAACATTCAGCGATTATCTTAATTATTTAATTAAATTATTGAATTATTAATTAGATTTTTGATTAGATTAATAATTAAATTGATTATTAATTAGATTTATTGAATCTCGTGCAAAAACTGTGAAGTTGAACTTTGTCTTGAACCCCATTTTGAACTCTATCATACTAAACTGCATTTTTAATGTATTTTTTCCTCAGTGCTTTGTATTTTCTTAAATTTTATAATTCTACCTTTTATATTATGCAATAAATAGAAATTAACTGTAATTCGACTGAAATTTACTTAAAAAAATTTTTTTGGGGTGATAACATTTAAAAATTGGTATTTCTGGCAACTTAGTTTCTCATGATAAAAATCTATATAAAAAATATTTTCTAGAAAGAAAAAATGCATTTTTCAATTCTCCAATATATATAGATTTAAAATTTGAAAAAAAAAAAAAAAAAAAGAAAAAAAAAAAAAAAAAATTACACAATTTTTGAAGTGATTTCGGTCCACAAATAGAGCAGTCAGAGGGTTAATGATAATTTATTAAAAGGTTTCAAATAGAAATTACTATGGGGATTTCCTATGAAAATCATTTAAATCCCTTATAATTAAAAATAACTAAATAAAAAAAGACATTAAAACAGCCTTAAAAAGAAAATGTCAAAAAGCTCTAAAATCTAATCATAGTAACTAAAAAAGCAAAACACAAAGCAAAATATCAGAAGATGAGGGAAAATAGAAACTTACATCTGGTATTTCAAAATTAAATTCTGCAACAGAAATAGGCTTTATATGTTTTAAACTTTCCTTAAAATCCATAAAGTTTAAAGAAGGCACAATCGAACTTGTGATATTTCTTCTCTCCCATGCAAATTCTTGAACTGAAAGAATTAAATAATGCATTTTACTGGAAATTCATAACAATTTGAAAGCAGAAAATGTACAATATGTTTGACATTTGCAAAGAGGACCTTATGTCACTTTCATGAAATGCAGTTAAAAATGCTTCACCTTTGGTTCTGATAAAGTACAATGTGGTTTGAGAGCTGCACAAAAAGCTTAATAAAGAGTGAATGTGGATAATATAGATATTGTACATACTTTGTAAATATACTTTATACTGTTTTCTGAAGGATAATATTATACTTCATAAAACAGTATAAAAGATAAAATAAATGTCTCACTGTGTAATTCAAGATTAACCATTGATACTGATTGTAGGTTTGAAGTATTTACTTTTTTTTTTGCACGTTAGTCTAAGAATGTTTACAAAAATTTAGGAGTTGTTAAAACATCAATAATCATAAGGTGAGTAAGAAACCTTAGATTAACTTTACTTTAGATTCAATTCAAACAAAATGAGTGACATAATTTTCATATTTACATAACATTTATCATTGGAAATTAAAATTAGTCTTAAAGAGTCAGTTCAGCAAAACAGAAAAATTTGAGGTTTAGCATGAAACACTATTACAAATTAATACAGAAAATCAATGATTAACTGTAAAATAGAAATCCAGCTTTTGCAAGAATCACTTGCTGCAGAAATGCAGATTCCAGTGGATGGCGATATGCCACTCTTATAAAATGAATGAAAAATGTTTCAAGTTTCAGCTGGGATAAAGTAGGGTGTTCAGCTGGGATAAAGTAGGTTTCAGCTGGGATAAAGTAGAGAGGCATAGATATAGTTTAAGAAAGTGTGAATGTAACTATAGAAATTTATGCATACTTTATAAATAGTACATTATGCATCCTTAAATAATATAAAAGATAAAATGCAGTGTTCATTGTGTAATCACTAACAAAACCCACCAACACTGATCATGGGTTTAACGTTATTTACAACATTCAGAAACACAATTAAGCTAAAAAATCATTACCTTCACTATATAATCGTTTCAGATCTTGACCAGTGAAACCACGAGTCAAATGCGATAATTTTAAAATCTCTTCTGGGCTCAAGTCATGTTTAGATCTTCCAATTATATCAATAAGTATCTTTAAAAAATGAATAGTGATTAAGTACCTTTATTTAGTAATAAATAACAAAACTTATTTAATATCTAATGACAAAATTCACTAAAACAAACCTTTTCACGGTCAGTAGGTGCAGGAACATTAAATAAAACTTCTTTTTCTATCACCTCCATGCTTCTTTAAAGCGCTACATAAAGCAGAACACTTACACGCAGTGGCTATCACCAAAACATTTCTGACAGAGTTCTACATCACATAATAAACATTACTAAAATTTAAAAAATGACACAAAATTATAACTAAATATAAAATAAAAATGTGAATAATAAATTATTTTTAAAAACAGATGTACAACTTTCCAAAATTATTCAAATAATAAGTAACTTGTTCTTTATAAGCATCAGTTTCAAATCACTCCTTGCACTGTAAAATGAATACTTTCATTAAACATTCTGACATACCTGCCTCAATGTCAGACTGGTTTTCACTATACATTGTTTGGTGAAATACTAATGAAATTGCAGAACAGCACTGATTTCCAAGAGATTGAAAGTAGGTTTTGCTACATTTTACTTCAATAAAGAGAGGAGAAAAATGCAAAAGCTGCATAATGCATGACTCTCCCTTCCCACTAAAAAACTTAAACATCATCAAAACTACAAAAGGAAGTTAATAATAAATCTAACTTAAATTACATTAAAGTCCAATCAAAATTATTATTATGTGCAATCACTAAATTTGTTTTTCATTATTTTCTAGTTTCACTACATGATAAATTATATAACATAAAAGTCAGGGTTGAAAGTCATGGTTGAAAGTCTGAATTTATATAGCTCACACACACATTTATTATTACAAAGAATTATTTTATCCATAAAAACACATAAATAATAAAACTGAATTTTAAAAATATTAATTAATTCCCTGAGAAGCATGACTGCCTTTACATGGCCATGAGATTTTTTTGTCACCTGCTAATCTCTACATATAATAAAACAAAGACTCTGTCTGTGTGTGTGTCTTTCGTTCGCACTGCGCGTAAGTTAATAGACCCACAGCTACAAAATTTGGTACATAGGTGCATCTGGATAAGAGCAAGAGCACCTCGAAGCGATTTTTTCGAAATTTGAATTAGAATTTTTTTATTTTATGTTTTGTGACGAAATCACATTATTTTGAGACATAATGGGCTATAGGAAAGCGAGATTTTACTCTACGCACTCCATTTTTACATCGTCATGAAATGTAGGCACTTAGCTATTTTACGAACTTAAAATAAATTCGCGTTTCAATAAATCAATTAAATACGAATTTATTTAACAAAGTGAGCTTAACACCTTTTCAACGGGATTTATTCTAAAAAAGTTTTATTCTAAAAATGTACAGTTTATTTTTCTTTGATTTTTGGACACGTTAAACTTTTATCCTTGCGACTGCTTTTACAAAAAAAATTTTGGGAAAATGATAATATTTTGTATTTTTAAAAAAAAATTTAAATGAAGCTTCCGAGTACACTTCTCACATCTCACATCTTTAAAAATGTGATTTTGGCAACAATTTTCCTTTCTTATTGTTGTTGATAGATTTTTGATGAAATCTCATCATTTTGAATAGTTTCATTCTTTTAGAAATATGGGTTTGGCAACAATTTTTCATCGCATTTCTTATGTCACTATTTTTAAGAGATTGGCATATTTCATTGTCATTTTTTTATATATATAATACATTTTTATTGATGTTTTTTATAAAGTTGTTCTGCAGAGTAAAATTGTGAGTCGAATTTTTTGTTTTTTGAGTTTCTTTCATGTTAATTTTTGCTTATTTCACTGTTTGTAAGATATTGAAAAGTTTTGCATGATTTTTTTCTTCAACGGAAAGTTGGTTAATTTTTTATTAGGATAATTAATATTTATTAATATTTGTGTTAAGGGATATAGCTTATTTCATTGTAAGTTTTGGTGCTACTTTGGTAGACGGTTGCACGGATTTTGGGGATTTTTCTTTTGGCGAGTAATAGGACTTATGGTAAACCCATTGCTGGATAAATTATTTATGGTAACCGATACTTTGTTGTCTTTTTATTTCTAAAATAATGCGTTTTATTATGCATAAATTCCGTGTTTTAAATATTATCTATGGTTTCTAAATGTTAAAAATCAATTTAATCCTGCATTTGTTTTAAAAATGATTTTATTATAAATGATTATTTAAATAATTTTAATTCTATGCGTGATGTAATGATTGGTCACTGAATATTTGTGCATTACCGCCGCATTTTAAAATTTTATTATTCATCTCTTCGAATTCCTCAGATTTCAAATGGAATAAAAAAAATGTAAGTACATAATTTTCTTTTACTTTATAATTGTATACTTTAACTTTTATTAAAAAATTAATACAATGTTTTCAAAAATTCCTGAGATATTTATTGCCACATATGTTTTAATGTTAAATAATTTCCTATAAAACTTATTTTAAAGTATTTAAGTAATATTTTAATTCATTTAAAACGTTGGTATGATATTTTTAATTCGATATTCAATTTAAGTAACATTTTAATCCAATTAAATGTTGGTGCAATGTTTTTATAGCGGTATTTTTATTCTATTATATGAAAGTAATAATTTAACCTTACTTTAGTATTTTATACTTTTAGTAAATGTATTTACTTACATTTGCCAGCCATCTTAAAAAACAACGTTTTCAACCAAAATTAATCCATTATTTTTAACGATATTTATTATTTTAAAGTTTCTAATACTTTACTATATGCCTAAAATACGTAAAAACAGCATTTTTCAAGATGGCTGATGCCTATAAAAACCGCGCCAATGTAAATCGCCAAAAATCTGTGCAACCGTCTACCAAAGTAGCACCTAATTTTTTTTCTCTTGAAAATATAAGATAAAATATCATTAATTATACTTTGCTTTTCAGAATTTTTTGTTTTTTGTATTCTTTTATGTTATTTATTATTCATTTCGCTGTTTTTAAGATATTGAAAAGTTTTGAGTGATTTTTTTAAGGAAACAAAGTTCTTAACCTCCTTTATAATATTTGAGTTCTTAAGATTTTGCAAAGGGAAGTTGGTTAATTTATTTATTAGGATAATTAATATTTGTATTAAGGGATATTGCTTATTTCATTGTAATTTTGTTATACGTAATAACTTTTTTTTATGAAGTTTTTCTGCAGAGTAAAATTCTATGCAGTTTTTAAATTTCACATTTGGTGTTCCCTTCAGCCATTTTTCCGGTACATTTAAAAGCCAGACGAAGGCTGGCAGCGAAGCTACTAGTATTAGATTATAATTTAAAATATTTTGCATTTTTACTTTCCATATGAAGTAAATATTATCTCAATGAATGAAAGTTATGAAAACTAGACTAAAATAAGTAACTGTAAAAATTTAGCTTACAGAAGCAGTTTAAATACAGGCCTTCATGAACAGATACAAAAAGCCATCCCACTAAGAGAGTTAACTAACTTTTATTTAATATCTGAGTATAAAAATAATCTAATTTTCTGCTAATATGATGCAGAAAGCAAGAAAATTTTATACACATTTTTGCCCAAACAAAAGTTTAATAGACTCCATTGGCTGCTTTCAGTTCCACACTTTGTAAATAAAAAATTATGAATGACATCCATTATAGCACTGGCATCTGCTATGGTAGAAAGTTCATTTCCCATGTGTTGTGCTTCTTCAATTTTTCATCAACAACATAATTTACTTTTTGATCTCAATATTTTTTCTTTTAATTTCTGCCACAATATCTTCATCACTTGGATCTCTGCATGTAAAATCATCTTCATCATCACATGCTTAGAAAAGTATTATTCTGAAAAAAACTTAAATGACTTTTTTCTAACCACTTAGTGGCAAATTCCCATACTCATTATCTTTCTCCTCAACACCATTTGCAAGACCAGAATACTAAAAACACTTTTAGATTTTTGATTTTGTTGCAAATTAGTCAGTTTCCTTGTTTTGTCCTCTTCCATATCATTAGTTTCATAAACAATTTTGCCAGATATAATTTGAATCCTGACAGACAGTAGATCAAACAGATGACTACAAGAACTTATGAGCAGGTGTCATAGATTCTCGAAGTAACATCTTTCTTCAATAAATACTAATTAAACGCCAAAATATATTAGCATGGTAAAGAAACATATATATATGACACAACTTCATCCTTCCAAACTGTAACAAGTTCAGAGAGATGGCATCAGCCCCCTTCTGCTGTTTGGTCTCTTTTATAGTACAGTAAGACCCCGCTTAATGCTGTTTCGTTTAGCGCTGTTTCGGTTTAGCGCTCTTTTATTTCAACTTCGGGATTCCCCGAAATTGCTCGCAGCATGAACTACGGGGATTCCTCGAAATTGTGCGCAGCAGTAGGTTTCCAAATAACATATCCGAAACTTTGTAGTTTTGTTTCTTGTTTGGTGCGGTGAGGTGCTGTATGGAAGCATTTTTATCATTTGAAACATTTGTTGACATTATTGTAAGTATAAATTTACATAATACTATAACGATTAATACAGTGACAAATATTATGATCTTTAGTTTTTATCATGGGTGATAATAAAAAACAAGAAAAAAAAGCAACCAGAAAAAGCATTTCACTGGAAACTAAAATGCAAGTGATTAGAAGATTAGATTCTGGTGAACGTCAATCTCAAATTAGTGCTGCATTGAATTTGGTAACTTCAACAATAAGGACAATTCTTAAGAATAAAGAAAAAATACTGTCATCGGCAACTGCAACTACGTCAAGCTCTGCAACTAAAATTACCCGTTCTAGAAGTAACATTATAGAGGAAATGGAAAAACGATTGTCTGTATGGATTGACAACGAAATAGAACGCAATACACCATTAAGCCAATCTATCATAATGCCTTCTTGAAAAAAAAATGCAGAAAATTGGAAACACAGAATAGACTGAATGATCTGACTGGCTTAGAATTTTATTTTTTTTTATAAATATATTTGTTTATATTGCTTTTATTTTTGTAA